GCATGGGGAGGACAAGAAGTCCACAGTGGCCTGAGGTCCTCAGAACACATGAAGTATCCTAAAGCAGCACAGGCATCCAGTGGTCAAAGCAGAGAAATAAAGCAATAAAACGCTCAGCAGCCTCAGTCCAGCCCCATCCCTTCTTGTCACCTGGAGCCCTGGGACTTCAGGAGCCCCACCCCAGCCGGAATTCACCGGAAGGGCAGTGGCCTGACTCACAGTTGCACGTCGCCTTCCTGGGGAGACCCAGCTCCCCACCTTGCCAGCCCCTGCTCTTTTCTAAGCAGTGCCTCAGTGAGCGCAGGCAACAGCAGCCGGCTGCCCAGCGACGGGAGGGCCGGGGCAAGGCCTCCGGGGTAGGACATTTTGCATCTTTCCACAACTGCCGCAGCCTCCTGGGTTAGCAGCTAGGGGTTCCTTGGTCTTTCCAGGATGGGATGGCCTGAACTGGCCTGTAATGAAGGGGCCAGTGGGAAGATGGGGCAGGGCTGGTAGGAACACAATATACCTAAGCAGTCCTCAGCCCAGGGGCTGGCTGCAGCCTTGCCGGCCCTGCGGCCTCTTGCCTGTCACTGTCAGCCCCGAGACCTGGGGACATGGTTTGGTAACTCCTGGTGCAGTTCACCTGCCCATTTCACAGATGGGAAGTAGATCCCAAGAGGGGAGAAGTCACTTGCCCACAAACTTACAGGCTCGACAGTTCAGTAGAGCCTGGAATCCAGGGCTTTCTCCCAGGGACATTCAGGGACAGGGAGCGGGGGTGACTATAAAAGGAGACCTCCAGCTGTATGTGCTGGGCAGGGGAACAGCGATGAGAGGAGTCTCGGGCAGAGCACAGGAGGGCAGAGGCTGGTGTCAAGTCACCTGCCCCCAGCAAGGCGGCCCAACCTGCGTGATGGACAGGAGAGGAAGAACACATCCATCTCCTGTGTAACTCCCGTGGCCACAATTCCAGCCTCTGACCATGAAAATAACCACCCTCAATTTCCACCCTGTCCCACTTCCCTGGCCCAGGGAACGGCAGCCTCACCCCTGGACACGTGGTTACAAGCCCCTCCCTAGCTCCCAGCCTCCTTCTGCCCCAGGGAGGGTGGGCCGGTGTTTTGTACGTTTCTGAGTTGTAGTTTGTGTCCTGAGGTCATGAGTGTCCCCAAGGCTCCAACTCATCCTGAATTGTGTGCAGCAAAGCTCCCTGTCCTGCCCTGACTCGCAGGTTTTTCTAGACAGACAGGTCATGGCCTGTGACATTCTCAGATGGTCTGTGGTGTGCCCTGCTGGTGTGGCTCAGTTGGTTGGAGCATCAGCTCACACACCAAAAGGTTGCAGGAGGCAACCAATCAATGTTTGTGTGTGTGTGTGTTTCAAATCAATTTAAAAAGAAAAATTTTAAAAACATCAAATACGTCTGTGGCCCAAAGATGTTAAGAAGCACTGCACAAGGGGAGGAGGGTCCTTCCTGGGGAGAATGGCTGAGGGGAAGGAAGGATGGGGAACAGGGTCACTATGTTAGCCATTCCCTTCCCTGTGGGAGGGTTACATGCGTTGCTTGGCTTTATTTCTTTCACCTGCCTGTCATGCAGGGTCACTGTCCCCATTGTGCAGATGAGGACACTGAGGCTCCCTGGCATTAGGTAGCTTGCCCAGGATGCAGCCTGGCTGTGGGATTGGACAGGCCAGGAAGACAGAGGCACAGGCCGTGTTGCACTTGGTTCTCCAGAGGCCCCCAGCTCTTAGGACGTGGCAGCCGGCCCTTCGCACCTCCCTTCGCCTGCGTCGCTGCCAAACCGTGAGCGCCTGGATCTGGGTTCCCAGTAAATTGTTTCAGCAGCAGAGAACCTGGTGCAGGGAGTGGCAGCTCTCCTCTGAGGTTAACTCCTGTGGAAGGGAAACCGGCCCCCAAGGCAGACCCCTTGATGTCCTCAATGAAGCATGAGACCCATTCCTTTCTAACCAAGAGGAGGAAGCAGAGCGCCCTGACCTCCGCGGTGGGACCTGGCTCGAGCTGGCTCGGCAGCGAGGCTCCCGATGGGCAGAGGGCAGGCACCTCCCCTCAGGTCCAGCAGGCAGAGACCCTTTGTTTGCTCTTGGACATGTCCTCCACCAAACCACGGACCAGCATCCTGCCCTGCAGCTCCCCCGTCCCAGGGGTAGGTGAGCCAGAGCAGCCCTTCAAAAACAGGCCCCAGCTGGGTGTAGCCCCTCAGTCCTTGTGGTTTCCTAGTGTTGAGGTACCGTCGAGGGGCAGCACTGTGGAACCAAGGCGCACAGTGATGACCGGCACGTTGTGAAGTGATCACCACAGTAAGTTTAGTTACTGTCCATCGCCTCACATAGTTAGAAAAAAAGGAAGAAATGGGTGGGTTTTTTGACTTGTGATGAGAACTTTTAGGATGCTAAAGAACAAACTTCAACTGAGTAAATTTGAAGATCTAATTGGCTTTATTAAGTGACTCATGAAGGCAGCATCCTATCTAGAAAGGTGCTCTGATGAGTCAAAATGGGAGGCTTATATAGACCCAAAGGGAGGAACTGAGAAGTTAAAAGAGTGGATTATTTCAAGTAAGTTTTCCTTTCCTTAGGGGAGGCAGAGGGACTTATCAAGCCAATCACCTCACTCGTGCTGGCAGGAAATTCCACAGTTAGTGGTTTAAAACTTCACTCCTGGGAGAGATGGAACTGCAATTAGGTTAGTTATTAAGTTTTTGTTTGGTATTGTATGTAGCTTAGCAAAAGCGACTCCATTTTGGCCTGTTCTTTCCTTTTTTTTTTTTTTAACCAGGATCGACTCCTTTAATAACTTTCAAATGCACCATACAGCAGTGTTAATTATAGTCATCAGTTGTCCATTCCATTCCTAGAATTCTGACCATTGGAAAAGTCAGCCGCTCTGGCCTCAGTTTCTTTATCTGTAAACTGGGACTGATGATGCCCAGCCCACTTGCCTTACAGGGATTTCTAAGAATCACTTGGGGAAGGCATTTAGAAAGATTCAAGACATCCCACTAAAATGACAGCAAACCCCTGCTGGACCTCACCCGTCACCCACACTTCCCATCCCAGGTCATTGGACCCTGGCAGCCTGGGCTAGGAACCTCCTTCTCTGGGCTATGCTGGGGCAGCTCCACATGTAGCTTGGGGGCCTCGGGGGCTTAGGGTAAGGGAGCAAAAGTGGGTGGTCCTGCTTTCCCTGCCCACCCTCAGTGGCCCCCTTGGTCCTCAGGGTGGGGTGGGGGAAGTCCCCTGAGGGGACTCTCATCATTGCCTGGTTTGTGCAAGGTACCAAGCTAGGAGCAGAAACCAAAGCTCCCACGCAAAGACAACAGGAATTGGGGAGAGGGGTTTGAGAAAAGATAGAAGGTACCCATACTTTCACAGGTGGGGGCATAAAGTTAGTCCCACCTTGGCTGGTGGGAAATTTAAGTGTAGTCATCTTTGGGGGTCTGCCCTTTCCCCCAGATTGTGCAAGAATTTGAGGTTTTACACAATCCAGAGCATTTGGAACAGGGCCACTGGATCCTAATCCACGTGGGTCACTGCCCTTGTCCAAGCCCCTGATGGGCAGGGGTCTCTGCAGAGGCTCCCAATGGGGCTCTCGTATGTGGGACCTCCCAAATCCTGTCCCTCGGCAGGCTTGGTGAGCCTCTGTCCCAGTGGTTTCTGCCACTTCTCCCACCCCACTCAGTGTCCTTTGCACCAGGCTCCCTCCCCTCCCATTAGGACCCACGGGATAACCTCTCTTTGGGAGCCCTGGTGAGGTTTTCTTCCTGAGGCCTGGCACCTTCTCCCTTCAACCCCACAACTCAAACCCTGCCCCTCACCAAGGCAAAAGAACACCGAGGTTGGGTCATCTTCAGAAGCAGCGGTAAAAATGGCCTCAGAAGCAAGATAAAGACAAATATCAATGCATGACCCTGTCACCAAGCTGGTGAAGTTACCGTGCATGCTGTTCGCAAAGCTTGTCGGATGGAGAAGCAGTCACGGGCGCTGTGCCTCGCCAGCAGTCCTTGGCCTCATCCCGCGGGAACCCGGGAGAGCGCCATAAGCTGGGCAGGGGCTTGCCCGCTTCCCTGGGAAGTTCTGTAGATGTTCCTTGAAGCTTAGGAAACCTCTCAGGAGGGGGTGGGCTTACCCCTCCCTTGCCAGGGCTCTGCTGTGGGGGAGGCTGAGCTGCCTCGAGGGGGCTGCTCTGGACTCGTGGGTGGGCCTCCAGGGTAGGGCAGGACCATCCCTGACCTCTGGCACCCCTCGTTCTTGCAGGACCTGGGCATGGAGTCCACCTCGCTGGATGACGTGCTGTACCGCTACGCCAGCTTCCGGAACCTGGTGGACCCCATCACGCACGACCTCATCATCAGCCTGGCGCGCTACATCCACTGCCCCAAGCCGGTAGGGCGCCTGCGGTCTAGGCCAGCTAGGGCCGGGGTGAGGCGGGCACCTTTCCGGGCAGAACAGCTCAGTGCCCAGCAGGGCTGGTTGGTACTGCCCAGGCCCAGTGAGGACAGGCCTCCACGTGCAGGCACCAAAAGGGTGGTCAGCCGGAGGTGCCCGTCGGTCCTGAGGCCAGGCATCCACAGCTGAGGCTATGCGTGGCACCATCAGCACAGGTTTCATTCGGCCCACAGGTTTTTTAATCTGGATTTATTGCCATTGTTTAAAAATCAGAATATTTCACACAGTCCCTATATTCAGTTGCCCTTGAAACTGGAGAGCTCCAGCAACACGAAGCCCTCATTTCTATAAGGCTGGAGCTGAGTAGCCACCCCTGTTATGTGGGGCCAGGGCCCCCTGTACAGTTGTGTCGCTTGTGCCCTGCACAAAGACATGCAGACACAGATGTGGCAGGGGATGGGGGACACAGGAGACAGTTCCAATCCAGCCCTCTCTTTGCCCACCAAGCTGTGGGCACTGGTGTAAGACTGTGCCCACCTAGAGGGGGCCTTTTTCTTGTTTGCACGAAAGTGCCGGATAAGTCTAGAGGTAGCCCTGCATGGTGCTCTCCAGTTTGCCTCAGTCCCCACTCCCAAGTGTCTTCTCTTTGACTTTGAAAGTATTTTACACCCACCCACCCTCCTCATGCCCATTTCCTGCCTGGCTTTGGGAGTTGAGCAGGAAAAGCTCCAGGGCTGTCTGCGCTCTGTAGCCTCTCTTCCTGCGGGGCCCTGGGCCTTGCTGGGCACGAGGCTGGCTTATGCAGACCTGCCCACTGGGACCTGGCAGGGAAGGGGGGGCCAGGGTGAGGCCACCCCATGCTTGGGCTTTTCTCTTGTTTTCGTTCCTTCTTTTCCATCCCTCTATTCCGGCAGCTTCCAAAAGAAACACGTCCTCTGTGGCAGGGGCAGGAAGCCAGAGCAGGCCCGAGGAGTGCCCCAGGACGCTCCCTCTTTCAAAGCAGGATCTGGGATAGGAGGGAGGTCGCGGTTCCCATGCCCAGTCACTCAGCCTGGGTGCAGACTTGAGCACAGTTATCCAGAGGCCTGGAACTGCCTGGGGCTGCCCTCCGCCCAGGGCTGCGTCTAGATCTCTCTGGCTTCTGGGGCCATCTGATGCCAAGACTCAGAGGTTGGGGGTAACTGTGGAGGGCTGGGAACAGGTTGGGGGTAGGTGTGGGCGGTTGGTGGCAGGGTGCAGTGGAAGGCAGGAATGCTGGGCTCAAATATGTGAAACAGCTGGAGTGAAGTTTGATGGGCTGGGACCCTCAAGGCCTAGGGAAGAAGAGGCAGTGCCAAGAGCCACAGGGAACCACCTAGCGCCAGAACCAGCCCGTGTTCATTCAGTTTACACCTGGCTCGGCCTGGGGAGCTGAGACCAGGCCTGTACGAGGCCTTGCAGGTGTCAGACCCCTGCCTTTTAGCAGCAGGTAAGAAGGATACTGGCTATAGGACACTCAGAGCAGCTCAGTAGGAGAGAAGTTACCTTTTGCCCATTTTAGAGCTGAGGAAGATGAAGTTCAAGTAATGAAGTGATCTCAGGTGAGAACCCCAGGTGGGAGTTGGGCCCCAGCACTAGGCAGGGCGCTCAGGTGCTGGGTCTCTCGTGCTGTTGGGGCTCACAGGGCTGTGGCCAGCCCAGAGGAGCACGTGCCTCCCTCCACACAGGAAGGGCCTACAGGTGGTTAACTGCCCGTGTCAGACCCTGGAGAGGTGGCCCAGGGTCCTGCACTGCGATGTCCTTTCCACCCAGATGGGGACGAGAAGGGCTATACCTGGGTCGTCTTAGCTCAGGCTGCTATAACAAATTACCATTGTCTAGGTGGCTTATAAACAGCAGACATTTGTTTCCCACAGTCCTGGAAGCTGGAAGTCCAAGATCAGGGTGCAGCGTGGTCAGGTTCTGGGTGAGAGCCCTCTTCCTGGTTTGCAGGCGGCTGGCTGCCTGCTCGCTGTGTCCTCACATGGCAAAAGGAAAGGGGCCAGCAGACCACAGGAGTGCTGGGTGCAGGGCGCTCAGAGGTGCCTAACGTCTGCCTGTTTGCCTGTGCCTGTTGTCAGAGCCCCCCCAGGGGGAATGGCGCTTTCTCCTTTTTCCCCCTCCCTCCCCTTCCATCTCCTCCACCTTGGGGCCCTTCTCCGCAGGAGGGAGGTCTGGAGCGGGCTTTTGAAAAGTGATGGAGTGGAGCAAAAATTAGATGAGTCTGCTTAAGTCTTTTGTGGGTACAAATGATAGAAACGCCTTGAACTTGCCTAAGTGGAAGATTACCTCCGTAGGGCAGAGCAAAGCGCAGGCCACTGGCAGGTTGGGCGCCCAGCCTCAGAGCCAGCAAGGTTTGTAGGTTTGGACCCGGATTCCATCTTACACATTGGGCGGCTTGCAGTCTATTCCACTTCTGTGCACCCCAGTTTCCTCGTTTGCAAAGTGAAGATGATAACGGTAGCCCCTGTTTCCTAGGATGGTGGTGAGTTACAGCATTGTGACAGGACCACATCTGCAATGCAGAGGCAATGCCTGACACACGCATTAGGTGCCTGAGAAATGTTAGCTGTTGTTTATTTAGTCCAGACAGGCGGAGGGGAGCTGTCACTTCTGTGAGGACACTAGCTTGTTTAATCTCAAGTCACTTTGCTGGGTGACTATATCTGTTGTCCCTATTTAGCGGAAGAGGAAACAGGCTCCTCCAGTCTCCAGGGTCAGGAGCCGCTGTACAGGTTGAAGCCTGTGCCTCGCCCTGCGCACGGCTGCCCCCTTGTGGCAGTGCTGGTGCACTGGGGTGGCTGCCTCCCGTCGCCCAGGCCTAGAGGATGGAAGGAGAGCCCAGGCCCCTGATTTTGGAAACCTTGGGAAGTGGTTGGAAGGGACCCGAAGCTGAGGGGCTTAGTTCTTAGCTTTGATTTTAGAGAAAGCGAAACATCGATTTGCTGTTCCACTTACTTATGCATCATTGGTTGATTCTCCTATGTGCCCTGGGGGTCAAACCTGCAACCTTGGCGTATCGGGATGACGCTCTGGCCAACTAAGCTACCCAGCCAGGGCCAGTTCTCACCTTTGGAGCAGGTGTTGTGGCAACATTCCGTCCCGGGTGCTCCCAGGAGAGATGCGGGCCAGACCTCCAGCTCTTACCCACTGATCTTCCTTGTCTTGAAAGCATTTGAAACAGTGCTTCTCCACCTTGGCCGCCCATGGGAATCCCCTGGGGAGCTTTCAGAAACCCTGCACCTGAACTGCTCACCTGTTGCTGGGGCTGCCCAGGCAGCAGTGGCCTTAAAGCTCCCTGGTGGCCCCAGTGTGCTGGTTCCATGCACATGTTCACCTCTTCGGACACTCAGCTCCTCTCTTCCCACCTCCTCTACCCCTTGGTCTCCCTCCCTCAGAGTCTCCTTCTCTTTCCTTTTGTCAGCCTTGGACCTCTGAGCCTTAGTTTCCTCCTCTGTAATATAGGGATTATGAAAACATTTACTATACCAGGCCATCGAGGGAATTCCGTACGGCTCTAGCATAACATTTGTGTGCATTAATCCAGGTGATAGACAGCAGTGGCTTGGGCCAGGGTGGTAGCCGTGGAAGCGGCAAGGAGTCAGGCTCCAGAAGAACTTTGGGGGGACACAGTCCAGACAATAACACCCAGGGTCTCAAATTCAAATGCTGATGAGCCAGACAGGTAACAGATGAGTGGATTGGGCTGGGAAGGATATGGCTTCTCCGTTCTTCTATTCAACCTGGGTAAAGGATGTGGTAAATACATTTCACTCTCCTCTGTACCATGTGAAATACAAGGGCAAGGACATTTGTTCATGGCTATGTCCTCAGCTCCTAGAACAAGTGACCAGTACCTAGTAGGTGCTCAGTAAATACCAGTGAAAGAGTAGAATAACCCTGAACGTAGGGGAGTGGCAGGGACCTTAGTGAATCTTGGCTAAGGGATCAGCTCCAATCAGTTGTTTTCAGATCGCCTGGAATCCCAACTTTTATGTAAATCTCCAGATTTTCAATCATAGCAACTAATTTACAAAAACTAAAACCATCATGTAGATCAGTTTGTAACCACCGCTCTCTGCTAAGGGCACCCACCTTGAGCCAGCAGATCAGGCCTCCCCCAGCTCAGCCTGGGGGTGCCATGCTCTTCCTGCAGGGACAGGAAGCTGGAGGGGGGAGAGGGCTGGACTCTTCACACACACACATACACATACACACACACACACATACACCCCCTGTGGTTGCCTCTGCAGGAAGGTGATGCACTGGGTGCCATGGAGAAGCTGTGCCGGCAGCTGACGTACCATCTCAGCCCCCACTCCCAATGGAGGCGGCACCGGGGGCTGGTGAAGAGGAAGCCACAGGCCTGGTGAGTCATGGTCACCCGAGGTGGGTCTGCCCTACCCCCCTGCCCAGCCTCCTTCTACAAGGGCAGCCCAGGGACAGTCTATGTCAGGCTGGGTTGTGACACACAGCACCCCTTCCCCAGACATTGGGGTGAAGGGAAGAGCTGGACTGGAGGAGGTTGTCTTGGAAAGCTGCCTGAAGCAGGTGAGATTGAAGGAATTCAGTTGGGAAAAGCAGCCAGGAGGGCATTCCAGGTGGGCACGAGCCATGAGAGGCACTGGAGGCAGGGCCCTGGTCTGTGGGGTGGGAGCTGGGGAATATGACCCATTCTGATGGATGGGCGGTGAGGGGACCTGAGTTTCTAATTCCTGGTGCACTGAACATGAGCATGCTCACTGAACCCCCCATTTTCTCCTGGTTATCCCTTAGGGAGACCCAGACCCCAAGCATACCCCTGATCCATGCAGCAGTGAGGACCCTCAGGGGTATTGTGGCCCCCTGAAGACTGGGGGAGAGGGGGGCACTTGGGACACAGAACCTGTGGGTCAGGACAGGAAGTGGGTGGAGGGGAGCCTGGAAGGAAGACTTCCTAGAGGAGAAAGCACCCGTAACTGTCTTGTAAATGACCATGGGGTTAGAGCCCCTTGCATTCTGAAAGACTGTCAGGACCTAGATGCTGCTGTGGACTCATCCTTTCAGATCCTGCAGCTGAGGGAGGAAGGACTGCCCCTCAGAGAAGAAAGTGCTCTGGCTCCTCTTTCCCTCCTGGACAACCCCACCTCCCAAGCCAGGGAAGGAGATGGATCCTGGGGGGGCCTTCCCAAGTGGAGGAAGTGAGGCTCCCACTGGGCTGAGGGCAGGGGCCATATATGGGGACAGAGCAGGACAGGAGAACCCATGGAACCTGGAATGCCAGGAGACTGTGAGCTAGATGTTTAGGATTGAAAAGCTGGAAATTTGAGTTCTGTTGAATCCAGGGGCCTCTTCTCCTGTCTCCACAACACACGCGCATGCTCAGTCCATTCTTCATTCAGGAGCTTCGCTCCCCTAAGGTGGCTTCTGGTCACATTGAGTGAAATGCAAACAGGGCCCTATGTGAGGGTCCCCAGCCCCTCTCAGTTCTCTCCCCTCCTACTCTCCTATGCCCCTGCCACTCTTTCCTTCCTGCTGGCTCAGACACACCAAGCTCTTTCCAACCTCAGGACCTTTGCACTTGCACTCCCCCTGCTTTTTTTTTCTTTGCATGGCAGCTCAAATGTTACCTCCTCAAAGAAGCCTTCCCTCCCAAGCTACTCTTTCCTTACTCTCAGATGGTCTTGTTGTCCAGTCCCTCTCTGGCAGAATGAAAACAGGAGTCTCATCCATCTTGTTCAACACTGTAGCCTCAGTGCCTAGGGCAGTGCCTGGCACCTAGTAGGAGCTTAACAAACACTTGTTGAAGGACTGACCAAAGTAGGGGCTATTAGTGTTGCTGTTTGGCCATGATTAGCCAGCTGATAAGTGGCAGGGCTGGAATCAAACCCCAGGCTCATGTTGTTAACCACACTTCCTGGTATAATAGGCCTGCTTTATTAATGGCATTGATAAGAATTACAGCCAAGAGTTAAATCCACTCAACAAATGCCAGGCAGTGTCCAAGCCCTTAGATGTCATGCCTAAAGAGCTTTACCTTCAAACTCCCTGGGGCTCTGCAAGATGAGCCAACTATGGGTGGCCTTCCAGCTTCAGGAAATCCCACGCATAGAGGATAGGGGTTTGCCAAGCTCAGGCTGCTGCTATTAATATATGCAGGCTGTTAACATCCCCTCTCCTCCTCCCCCTCCTTCCCTGGGTTAGGGCCTCAGGGTTTGCCTGGAATACCTGGAAATGGGGAGCTGTGGCCCAGAACAAGGAGCAGGGGGAAAAGGAAGAGCAAGGAATGGAGAAGGCAAGGAGTGGAGAGCACTCGGCCACCAGGGGTCAGCAGCTCCCACTGGGCTGGCAGCCCCTGCACCCTCCCTTGCCTGCTGTCCTGTGGGATCTCCCTAAGGATCCCCGTCTGGTGGGGAAGATGGCCTTGAAAAAGGAAGCCTCAGAGATCTTTTCACTCTTGCAGGAGCAGGAAGTTCAGCTCAGGTGATTAATAATGTCAGCAGCAAACATTTATTCATCACTCACCCAAACAAGGCAGTTTTAAGTGCTTTGCATTTACTATCTTCACATAACCCTTTAGCCCTCAATTAGCTCCATTTTTCAGAAAAATAACAGGTGCAGAGAGGTTAAGACCTAAGTTAAGATCACACTGAGTAGGAAGGAGTTAAGATACAAACCCAGGCATTGTGGCCCCAGAACGTATCCTTAGTCACTGCAGACACTTGGGCGTTTCCCCTGTGGTGCCTTGGGCTCTGGCCAGCTGGGCCCAGCCAGGCTGAGATATGGGGTAGTGCCAGTGGACCGAGGTCTGTTTCCTCCCATCCCTGGAGCAGAGGTGGTATCACTGCCGCACTGGGAGAAAAGTCCTGCCCCTTACCTGAACCTTGCTTGTCCCTTCTCCCCTTCAGCCTCAAGGCTGTCCTGGCTGGAAGCCCTCTGGACAACACGGTAGACTTGTCGGGCATCCCGCTAACCTCCCGTGACCTGGAGCGGGTGAGCAGCTACCTGCAGCGCTGTGGGGAGGAGGTGGACAGTGTGGAGCTGGGCTTCACAGGTCTCACAGACGACATGGTCCTACAGCTGCTGCCGGCACTCAGTACACTGCCCCGGCTCACCACGCTGGCCCTCAACGGCAACCTGCTCACCCGAGCACTGCTGCGTGACCTCACCGACACCCTTAAGGACCCCAGCAAGTTCCCCAATGTCACGTGGATTGACCTGGGCAACAATGTGGACATCTTCTCATTGCCCCAGCCCTTCCTGCTCAGCCTGCGCAAGCGCTCCCCGAAGCAGGGCCACCTACCCACCATCTTGGAGCTGGGCGAGGGCCCAGGCTGTGGAGAGGAGGTCCGGGATGCAACAGTGGGCCAGGATGACCCTGGAGGGGATCTTCTGGCCCCTGCCAAAGACCATGAGGGTAGGGAGACTACAGGTCCAGCTCAGACGTGACACAGAAGTGGGGAGCCTCACCAGGTAGTCCTTGTGGGGTAGGGTGACTGAGGCAGACTAATGGCTCCGACCAGGGTGCTCAGGCCTGAGCAGCCCCACCCATGTGAAGCCAGATTGTAGAATCTGGGAAAGGGGGTGTAATACTTTTCACTGGGCCTCCATCTTTCCCCTTGTCAATCTCCATTATCTTTGTTTGGCTGAGAAGTCATCCCTGGCTCAAAAGAATCAGCCCTCAGCCTCCCCAGACTTAGGGGTTGGGGATGCCGGAGCTTGAGCTGTGCATATAAGAGCTCTCCCTGAGGAGTGTAGTTGGGGCCCTCCATCCAACCCAGGACTGTACAATTCTACATCACATTCATTCTATTCAGGGCAGCAAACTCCAGCCAGATGCTAAATGTGCCCTGGCTCAAGGCAGATTGGAATCTTAGTACCCTAACTCGGTGGAGGTTGGGGTGGGGGACTGGCTGCCAATTCCAGGAGCCTAGTCTCCCTGTGGACTGAAGGTTGTCTACCTCCTCAGTGGACCCCCGGGCCCCTTGTAACACTTTGTCTCAGCCCTCAAACCCGATTCCAGAGGCTTGCCCATGGAACCAGCCACCGCCCTTCAATGTAGAGCATCCTAGGGTGTCTAGGACAGATGGTACCCAGATATGCATGGAAAGGCCCACTGAGAAGCCTCATACCATAATCCCTGCACCCCTCACCAAAGACTACCAGGCTTTTAACATGGGTTGTTCCAGTGTTACTAAGGGCCCTTTCCCCATCAAGTACCAAGTCTCTGAAGTCATCGTTGACACTGAGCACAGTACATTCCCTAAACCCTATCATGGGAGGCTCTTAACACCCAGGACCAGAATGAAGTTAAAAGCACTTCTATGAACTCCTGGCAGATCTGGTGCCTCCAAAGACAGCCAGGAGGAAAACTGGAGGTTCCCAAAAGCAAAGGTTTCCATCCACCCTTACCTGAGGCCCACCAGTTTTTTAAAAAAAACCTTCTAAATATGGACAGTAAGTCTAGGGAGATTGGGAACCAATCTTGAGCCAGAGAAAATCATTCCAGGTGCCCGACTTTGATTTACCTCCTCAGGCTATCAGAGGACTAGGGAAGCACAGCCTGACGGGCCTCTAGCCTCATGCCAGCTGGCAAAATTACACAACACAGGAAGGCAGCAAGATGGGGACTAAGCTAAGAGTTTGGCTAGGCACAGTGCACAACTTCAGGAGTTACTAGAGGAAGGCTAGGCAAAGGACAGTGCCAGAAGAACTAGGGACTGGACTCAAGTGTGTGAATGCCTTAAATGCTCTGGGACTTTTACCCTCAATGTCTAAAGAACAGACCATAGGGAAGTTGACAAGTGCTTAAGTACCTGGACTGCTAATATCTGACAGCAGTGTTCAAATTTAACTTTCTTCAAATACACATTTTAAGAACCAATACCAGAGATGATCCTTTATTACAATATTAACTTATGGTAATTGCATATTAATTTCAGGAGGAAGTTTCCAGCTTAAAGAACTCAGACCCTTATCCAACGTAACAAATACAATACTAAAATGCACAGAAGCTCCTTTTGAGCAAGGGACAATACTAGAAAACTCATGAATTTAATGACACCAAAGTGCTTTCCTACAAAAAGGTCGCCAAGTCCATTTCTTGGCCCTCTCATGGGTAAGAGTGGCTTCTCTGATACTTAGCACAAGGTAAGACTGTTTCTATACCAAATGTTGAAGCCTAGGTTTTCGGAGTCCAAGTTGATGGTGACTACTGGTCCTTGGGACTTCAAATTCTCCCCCTGCTGCAGCATGCCTGACCATCCTCTGGACAAACAGCCTGCAATGAAACTAAGTATCAGTCACACTTTCTACTCCAACCAACAGTCATTCATAGCATAGGATATCTTCAGAAAACCGTAGGTTCACCACTATACAATCTGCCGGTAATTCCAGCTATTTTTGGGTGATTTCATCATTTGATATCCGTTTCTGCAGGTTAATGTAAACAGACTAGCTGCTCATTCATTCTACTGTGGGGGCAATCACTGTCCAGATGAAATCTCACCTGTTCCCAGGGTGAGCTGCCACCATCAGCAGCTTTGAACGGCACTGATCACCATTCTTCGGCACTCAGAACCTGGGGGGATGAATAAAGCACCCAGTCAGCCAGCAGATGCAGTTCTGCTCATAAAAGCCTCAGCTACAAATTTAAGTCCATCTAATAAGAGTCCTAATGAACTTAGTCCTAATTGGCTTCTTGGGTACTGTAATAGCCATTTAGTCAGTATTACCAAAGCTTACCTCATGGCAGACCAATGCTCCTCACTGCAATCCTCAGCTCTTGCCAGTCCTTTGTTCATTTGCAACCTGGACGAATACAGAAATTAAGGGTCACAGTTCACAACTTACTCCTGGGCACCAGCAACCCCAGCACTTATTGACTGCAGTCAGCCAGGAATTATCGTCAGTTATCGCTTCTGACGGCACTTCCTACTAGTAATTTCATCAGAGCAGCCAAGCTCCTCACCACTCCCAGTACTGCTCCAGACATCACCTGGAACTAAACTAATGTTGACTTAACAGCCAGAGGATATTTTAATGGAGTTTGTTTATGCATATAGCTGCAATTTAAATAGTTTCGATTAGAGGCAGCCATCTCCCAGCCATTGCAATGAGGTAGTGCATAATAAACACGTAAAAATTTCAACTACATCAGGCAACTTCAGTGCATTTAAGGTAACAAGACAACTAAGTTCCATATTAAACCCCACCTAGACTACGTCTCACCTCAGGGTGGGATGCTGCTCCCGCCTTCGGCACTCTTCAGAGGTCTGCTATCTGAAATATTAAGATGGACATGCATTCAGGACAGAGTCTGGTAGCTAATGCAACTAAACTATCAAGGTTTCAGCGACTGCGGTCAGATAGGTATGAAAATCGTCAGTTATCGCATCTGACGGCACTTCCTAACATTAGTATCATCAGGACAGTCGACCAAGTCTTCTTCACGGTCCCATTACAAACCACCCATGTGTAGCGCCCTTGGGTGCAGGAAGGCTCCCACTTACCCAGTTCTCTCGGATTTGCTTACTCCCAACGGCGAGCCCAGGGAAAGGGGTCCCGGCCCTCGGGGAGCGCAGGCTGCGGGCCTGGGGGGCAGCGCGCCCGCCCCGGGGCCCGGCAGC